TTCTCTTACTTTCTCTACCTCTCTCTGCGTCTATGGTACCTGCTATCGTGCAATACAAGCCCTTACCAGGCACTTAACGCGAAGGTCTTGGACTGAACCCTCAAAACCCCAACAGCAAGCTCGGAGAAGTAAAAGGAACGGCCCCTCCCCTGTCACACGCCCGTACGGGGGGCACATCATACCCGATGTGTGAACAGTAACACTGCTCAAAGTCGCCACGACTACGTTTATTAGTGGTACATAGAGAGACATGCAAGTGACGATCCGCGCGCGATGAGTAAACCCACAAAAAGTCCCGTGCCCGTATCGTTCTATACGGCATGGTGCAAGTGGTCACCTCGGGAATCGAACCCAAGAACAAGATCAATGCAGGAAGCTAGACCGTTCAACCACGGAGCCACTCTCAACATTAAGCAGAGCCAAAATATATATAATAGTCATTGGCCTGGCCGTGAGTATGAATGGGGCAGTGAGTCTTTTCCAACCTGCTATGTGAAACAAGCGTGGAGGGACGACCATGCAAGCCCTTTGCAGCTCATGCACTACGGCTCTACGTTGGCAAACGGCGAGTGCAGGCTACTCAAAGCCGTTGAACATACGGACGTCTCAGGAGTGTAGGTGCATGAAATTGCCGTATCCGATGATTTGCCATGCACGTACTACTGCCAGTACGTTCGGCCCGCGCCACTGATATCATCACCAGCCTCCCGTCCTGGTAGATACATGCAATCGGTCTGCTACCACCGCTACGTGAAGACTCAAGTACTCAGCTCTCACTGTACAGTATACTCCTGCTGCATGCCTTCTATCATGACGCATTCCCTTGACATGTCCGGACCCTCGATGTAGTCTTCCGATAAATCCCACACCTCTGGGCTGCCGTATTCGTCCGCGTCCACCCTGCGTCTATGCTTCAAGAACGAATCCCGATTTGTATCGCATAGTGTTGCAATGCTCGACCTGTGCCGATTGGGCGAGTTCGCTGCCTCAGTCTGCCGCATATTGGCATGTGTCACACCTGACGGTACTCAGGATTGGGGTCCGTGTTCAATCGGCTATGAATTGTACAAACCACAGTCCTTGAAAGCATGCAACCTGTCTCTGACCTTCACAAGGAAGGTTGCACATGTCCCAGCTGCTGGTTCACTAGTTTCTGGTGGGGAGTTTTGGCCGAGGACGATTCACAAATCAGCGTACTGGATTCTGTCAAGGGCGGCCGCATGACCGTAGGAGCATAGCAGAAGAAGAAAAACAGCAATCATTATATCAATCTGAGGATGCGCAAAGCACGGCTACTAATGTAGAGAGTATCGAAGGCGGGAGGAACAGGGTTCCTAGACGAGCCCAGCGGGCGCCCGCAGCTTCTTTTGGTGCTCCACAAAAAAGGGAACATCCTCTCAAATAGGAAAAACGTGTCGGGGAAAGAGCTGTCTGGTGGCACACTTCTGGCACTCCCCTTCACCTGAGCGTCAACGGGAAACCTTCAAAAGTTCACGGATGACACGTCGTGTTAGGTAGTATAAGCTTCAGAAGTCCCTAACGGTGCTATTGAGTATAGGGCCAGACGTAGCGCACTTGACTCAATTGTTCCGCCTCTGCATGTTCCAATCGTCGAGACAACGAGAGTGTAAGCGCGTGACGTGTAAGCTTAAGCCACATCGTTGACGCTGCGGCTTCGGCCCGGAAAGGTCTCGGAAAGCGCCGATCAGCGCTGACGCTGATCCGCCTCCGACCCCGTCACCTCGACCTCGACTTCGACTTGGTCACTACGACCTCATATGCATGCATGCTCCTTATTCAGACGTACGGCAAGCATTGCTGGAGTCATTTCTCATTAAAGCGGACGGCTACCCCAATGCCTACCACCGTCTCCGGTTGTCAAGCGCGGGTTCGATTCCACTCTTCCTGCCGTTACCAGTGCTCCCCTCGAGTTCGGATGTCTTACCTCCCTGCTGTATGTGCACAGCTTCAGAGCGAACAACGCGCCGAAAGACTTCAAATGCGCATATCCTCGCACCTGAGGCTATGTGTACGCATCATCCGTCTGGAGGAGTTCGGCCCAGCAGAGATCAGCGCCAGTTGCACGCCTGAGTCAATGGAAGGACAAACTCCTGCATCGCCATTATCGGCGCGGCGGAACTTCATCGCCTTCTGAGCATGTATACAACGCGCACATGAGCGCGAACGGTCTCGATGACGACTGTTTTGACCGATCACTCAACTCATACCCCGGTGCGAACCGCAGCGCGCCCATCGCCATGCGTTTCAGCCAGGATGAGCTCTCCACTCATCATATCCTCGGCACACGCGATACAACCTACCATGGCTTATTTTGCAACGTGACGCAGGACGAGGCCTATTTTGTCAACAACCTGATGGATCCCATTGTGACGATAGTATACCAATGCGTGGTGATGTCTATACTATTCGGTGAGCATCTGGGTGTCTTTATACCCTGAGCCCCAGCTCACAACTTCCAGCGTTCTTATCTCTGGCATTTCCTGCGACCGTGCGGTACTTGCTGTTGCTGTAAGCAGAGCTTTCTTTTACTTCGGCCCGGACTGACATGCTTATGATACTCCTGACGAGATGGCCTGCGTCGCCGATCCAAAAATGGACGTTGATCGTGTTGACTGTCATGTACGGTGCGGCGTCTATCTCCTACGCTTTTGAACTTATCTCTTGGCGCCAATATGTTCGGCAAACGACATACACACTCACGGGGTTTTATAGCACGTCCGACGACACCCTTGAGACAGCTGCAGATGCCGGAGTGTATCTACTACAGGATGTCAATGTACGAAATGATTTCCTTTGTCGAATATACCAGTGTACTGATGCAATGATAATGCAGGTTCTCTGTGGAGATCTCACAATAGCCGGCTCATCCGGCGGATCAACATGTTGGTTCTCGTCCTGATGATATGTGCGTAGGATACCGAATTGACACGATCGGTGGAAATGATACTGACATGCGGACCAGTGGGCTGGATAGTCAACATAGACCTTCTTGTCATGGTGGGCCTAGAGTTCTTGGTACTTCCCTTAGCCTTGTCTCTGGCTGTCAATCTATGAAGCACCGATAAGTCTAGTACAATCGCTATTCACTGGTGTCTCTTCGACTCCTGATACGACATCTAGGCATCGTCGTCGCCAGCTACACCGCCAGATCATTGTGGCCGGACGTGCCTCTACCGCTATAGAAGGTGCACCAGCTGTGCTAATGGAGTCTGGTGTGATGTATCTTGCGTTGTGGGTGTGCCTTGACCTAGCCAGATTACACACCGCATGCTGATGTCCTTGATCCAGGTTATATACATGTCTATCGTGGCATCCTGTTTCTTCGGGCCCGTGACCTACGTGCAGGCCCCCTTAGATCGCAGCTTCCAACGAACGATGATCGTCATGAGCATGCTTATAGTACGTGTGCATAATCCTGAAGCGAGTTCAGCGCTTACTGGTGTGCACTCCCGGCCGCTCTACCCCACGCTCTTGATCCTACTCGTCGCACGACACAAGACGCCTCTCCGAAATGCTCACGTTGATCGATGTCGACGTAGGTTTGAGTCTACCGACGCGCACCAACTCGCCGAGTAACATTTCCGATCATGTTGAGCTCCAACCTACACGAGATAGTACTGGGAAGATCGGCAATGAGCTGTACGATACCTACGGTGATATCATAGCCACCATTCCCGTGTGCTTGGCCCCCAGCAGGAGGCCATGATGATCTTGTCGAGTGTGTATGTATGCAGACCTGCTTTGAGTATAGCCGGCAAAGCTGTCTGTCAAAACTAGCATAGCG